CTCCTCCTCCTCCTCCTCCTCCTCCTCCTCCTCCTCCTCCAAGATTACACAGATTAACAGAGTTGGAAGGGACCTTTTAGATCATCTAGTCCAACCCCCCATCCTCCTCCTCTTCTCCTGTCTGCAAGCCCCACTCCTTTATAGCACTGATGGTGTTACCTAATTGGGTAATAAAACATCTGCAAGAAAACCACCCAAGCTCAGCGAGCACCAAGGATCCCACAATTCAACCCTGAGTTACAAACATTCTTCTTCTATTGGCAGGATCAGTGATTTACAAAATGCACCCATCGTTTGAGAGTAGTGCCTTTATATACTTTCTCCTCCCATTCTCCTCCTTCTTCTTTTGACATCGGGGGCCATTGATTTTGGATTGTTGGCCAACCAAGGACTTGAGCGTGATCTTCTGACTCTGTTTTCCTGATGCTTTAGGCCCAGGCCAGTCTAAACTATCATGGCCAAAATGGCCTCAATGGATCTTTTGGCCTCCACACCAGTACACGGAATCTAATGTTCCTGGAGGCCAATTTTGACAATGAGTTGAAAAGGAACACCCGAGCCTTTCGTGTGAGCGCTGCCCTAAAGCAAGACATTCTAGATCGGTTTAAACATGTGGAGCTGCAGTTCCTGAGTAAGGAGACGCCATCAAGGTAAATAAAGTGTGGGGTAAGTGATAAACCAAAGTTGGCTTTAAAGAAACTTTTTACTGTTACCTGTAATCTGAGGAAAGATAAAAGCAGAACATCTTCACTTATTGAAATGGCAAATAGGGTTGCTTGTTTCTGCGTGGTGTAAATCGCTTTGCGGTCATTTCACCAATTCTTGTGGTTTGATTCATTTCTGTTAGCCCAACGGATTTGTGAGTTTGTGTATGTGGGCAGGACTAGAGTACTGCCTCTTTGTGTCACATCCTGGACATAAACTGCTTCAACTTCTACCCTCAAAATGACGCTACAGAGCGCTGCACACCAGAACAACTAAACACAAGGACAGTTTTTCCCTGAACACTATTACTCTGCTAAACAAATAATTCACTCAACACTGTCAAACTATTTACTAAGTCTGCATTACTATTACTATTAATCCTCCCATCCTTCCTTTCACCCATCTCCTCCCGCTTATGACTGTATGATTGTAATCTTTTTGCTTCTATCCTAACAATTTTTATTGACTGTTTCCTAGTATAATTTGATTCCTTATTGTACCCTATGACTATTGTTAAATGTTGTAACTTATGATTCTTGACTCTTGACAAATGTATCTTTTCTTTTATGTACACTGAGAGCATTTGCACTAAGACAAATTCCTTGTATGTCCAATCACACTTGGACAATAAAGAATTCTATTCTATTCTATTCTATTCTATTCTGTTCTGTTTTCTGTTCTATAGTCTATTCTATTCTATTCTTTATTCTATTCTATTCTGTTCTGTTCTGTTCTGTTCTGTTCTGTTCTATTCTATTCTATTCTATTCTATTCTATTTTATTTCCTCATACTAAAACAATAAAAGAAGTAGAAAACAATAATCATCAACCACAGAAAGCTATGTTATTATATTGGGAAAGGAAATACCAGGAACAAATAAAGTATGAGGATTGTATTGGTCTTAAATTGGCCGGTTTGTTTTCTAAATGACAACAAGAATACATTGAAAGATAAGGTCAGGTCTCCTTTACTTCCAGCTCAACTTTTGATGATTTCATGGACACAATCCGTGGACTTTCTTCCACTGTCTTCTTCTGAGTTGCTTGTTGACTTCCAGCATAGCCTATAGCTCTGTTGTTTCTGGTAGCCTTCCACTGAAGTAGTAACCTAGTTTGACCCTATTTAGCTTCAAAGACCAGAAACAATTGCCCAATTTTTTTCACCTGCTGAAGCATTTTTGCATCTCTTGGTGATTTTTCTGCAGTCCTGCAAAATTGCAAACATTAGAGAAAGCTCCTTTACTATCAAATTGTACTGGCTGCTTGCTTAGCCTTTTCAGAAATCTGTTAATGTTGATTTTCACTTGTTTCTTTCTTACAACAGGTTGTTGTTGACATCCTCAGTAAAATTGAACCAGCATTCCTTCCAGGTGGGCATTTCAGGATCCAAGGAACAGAAAGCTGGTGTGGTGACCCTCCGTGTCCACGTGCAACACAACCTTGAAACCTTGAAACCTCAGGATCTTTCCCTGAATATTTCTCTGAAGCACCGAATCAATTTTAAGGAAGGTACAGCCATCTCTGTTCTTTTGGACAATCAGACCATCGGGGCCATATTTTATTGCTGCCAGGTAGATCTGGGACTTTTCAGCTTCTGCTGCTTTGGAGAAAACAAATGTTGACATCTTCATAACAAAGCCTCACTGTAATTAGGTTGTAAATGGTGGCCACATGACCCTAGAATGCTGCATCCATCCTAAATATATGCCGCTTACCAAATGCCCAAATTCTGGTCACGTGACCATGCGGATGCTGCTACAGTTGTAAGTACAAGGACCAATAGTAGGTCACTTTTTTCAGTGTGGTCGTAATTTTGAATGAGTAGAGTAGAGTAGAGTAGGATTTGAATAGGAATAGGAATAGGAATAGGAATAGAAATTATATAGAATAGAAAACAATATAGTATACTATTTTATAATATAGAATATAGAATTGAACAGAACAAGGAATATATAAAATAAAATATAGAATGGAATGGAACAGAACAGAACAGAATAGAATAAGGAACAGAATAGAATATAGAATAGAATAGAATAGAATAGAATATAGAATAGAATAGAATAGAATAGAATAGAATAGAATAGAATAGAATAGAATAATAGAGTTGGAAGGGACCTTGGAGGTCTTCTAGTCCAACCGCCTGCCTAGGCAGGAAACCCTACACCACTTCAGACAATTTGTTGTCCAACATCTTCTTAAAAACTTCCAGCGTTGGAGCATTCACAGCTTCTGGAGGCAAGCAGTTCCACTGGTTAACTGTTCTCACTATCAGTAAATTTCTCCTTAGTTCTAGGTTGCTTCTCTTCTTGGTTAGTTTCCACCCATTGCTTCTTGTCCTGCCTTCAGGTGCTTTGGAGAATAGATTGATCCTGTCTTCTTTGTGGCAGCCCCTGAGATATTGGAACACGGCTATCGTGACACTCCGTAGTCTTTCTTTTCATCAAACTAGACATACTGAATTCCAGCAACTGCTCTTTATATGTTTGCTAAATGAATGGTTGTAATCCAAGGAGTATTGGCAAAGAGTTATAATTTCTCTGGCCACTTTGGCAGGGCTCTAATCTTGGTTCCCACAATCCTGATTCAGCCCTGATTTCCTTACTTCTGTCTAACAGGCCTTGTGACGGTTGCGGTGAACGGATCTGTTTTTTCCATTCACGTCCGAAGCGAATGTCTATGTGGGAATAAAAGCTTCTATAGCATGATGGTGGCCGTGGCCCAGGATGGCAGTGAAATCTTCTTAGCTCAGGGAAAACTGAAAGGCTCCCTGGAACTAAAACAAATAATCCAAAGGGATGAAGCCCAGGCCCTGAAGAACGCAAGAAGTCCTTGGGTTGACCTTGCAAACATTTTCCTTCACAGCAAGGTTGGATTCACAGGCACCCTCACACACAACCTCAGCAACTTCTATGCAATAGGTAAGGAAAATTGAATGGTTTGCTTCTTTGTTTTAGAATCTTTGGGAAAGTCACTCGAATTCATACTACCTAGAATTTAAAGATTAATCCATCAGGATTGGACTTTTTGCTCCGTTCTTATCCACAAGGATGCTTGACCTTTTTTTGTGTGTTGGTTCAGAAAAACCTTCCTGCCAGGAAGCTGAGCTCTCCACTAAACTGTCTCCTTTTCCGTTGTCTTCTTTAGGACTTCCCACAGAAAGTAGCCTCAAGACCATATATGGTCACAACGATACTTACCAGGGAGTAACTGTGAATCTTCAAGGGGGCAACCAGAAGATTAGTGCCCTATTTGGAGTTGAGAAGTTGCATCCAGAAGCCCTTCAAACCCAGTTGGCAAATCATTCTTTAGCGGTACAAGATTTATTTCTCCAAGTTTGGACAACGACCGTATGAATGGAGGGTTACTTACTTGTTTGATCGGGTAGATCAGTCCCCATAGAGAAGCGAGACCAAAGTGAACATTTAGCTCTTTATTGAGTATACAGTTCTGTACAAGACCTGCGCTTCGAGGCAGCCCTTCATATAGGAGCTGTCCGCGGCACAGCGGCCAATGACAGTGCTTTGAATCTCCCGCGATTGGCTCGGCCAATCGCGGTTGATTCTAAGCGCGCCAATCAAGGCCGTTTAGTTATCCAATCAGGTTGCGGCCCGTGTGGGCTAATCAGATTTCAGGGTTTGGAGTATGCTAATACAGAACATTACTGATCATAAAAATAGTCTCACTTAGGCTCAGAGATAGATAATAGACTGACTGGCTCCCACATGCAATTTTTGTATTTGTTTAGACTGGAAAAAAACGAATGTGACATTTTGATCTTTTTCTCTCGTAGGCCTCACAAAGAACATTGCTCTGTGGACCAGATGTGGCTAACAACTCTGCACCCGGTGTAATAAGGGAAATCTTTTCGAATAGCAGTTTTGCTCCACCGGGTATCCGCACAGCATGCAACTTGGAGTACGTTCTGGAAACCAGCTTCAGTCATGCTTGCCCTTATCTTACGTCTCTGGGCCTCGCCCAAGAGAATAGGGTGAAAATGGCCATCACGAGAGGTGATCCACACAGAGTCTTTCTAGAAATCTCCCTGGGAAATGGCAAGTGGACGGGCCACGGGGAACTGAGTGATGAGGCTGGAGGGACAGCTGCAGAATGGAGGGTGACTTTTCTGAATAAACCTGGCGCTTTGGAGGTGATTGTGCAAGAGTTTCTTCTAAGAGTTTCTCAAACTCAGGAGGCTAGATGAGAGAGGTCTTACACAGTCTGTGAAAAAGCAATATGGTAGCAAATCTAATAGTATAAATTGGGTATTTATTAATAAATTATAATTGTAGTCATTTTGGTCATGAGTTCTACTCCCGCCTTAGCCATGCAAGACAGCTGGGTGACTTGGGGCCAATCGTCAGGAGATGGTGAGTTCAGATTACAGATAATCAGAGTTGGAAGGGATCTTGTAGGTCATCTAGTCAAACCCCCCATCCAAGCAGGAGTTCTAGTCCCACCTTAGGCATGCAAGACAGCTGGGTGACTTGGGGCCAATCACACTATCTCAACCCATACTATAAAATATCATCAGTAAGAATTACAACCATGTCAATGGTAAAAGCAATGAGCTAAAAGCCAGCATCACCAACACAACCTTGCAATATTACAACACTTATAGATAAATTCTTAATATTAAGACTGCAACTTATTTGGCATGTGTTAGACTGGAAAAGGCTGGTGATGGGCTTTTATGAATATATTCATAAAATCATATGAAGTAATGATTCACTAAAAAGAAAATATCTTTTTTTTTCCCTCTTGGGTCTACTAGAACCCAGCATTACCCCAGAATTTTGTTTCTGGAGGATCCTTTTTCAGCAAGACTCACCAAGCAAATTTAACAATGTTCTTCCAATGGAATGGCACAACAGCTGATATGAAATTGGAAATAGACAAGCATGTTGTGCGGGGGATTCTGGACCACTCCCTGCCCTATCTTCAAGATCTGGGGCTGCCTCGCAAAAACGTGATTCTCCTCATCATGACGGGTCATGCTGGTGTGGAAGGACTTCTGGTGCTCCATGTGGACAGTTGCAAGCTGGAGATACAAGGAGAAACCCAACCCAAAGCCAAAATGGAATGGACTCTGGAGATGGAGGTGGCCTGTAAAGCTTTGCAGGTAATTTTTGCTTCTTCCTCCTTAATTCTTGAAATTAGTCTTCCCCAGCTTTGCATGTTCCAGATGCGCTGGAGTCACAGATTCTAGAATTCCTGGCTATCAGTGATCGGGTCTCACCATAGCTGCTTGGCAGAAGTCTATAAGAAATTTGAGGGTGGGGATTTAGTTATGACTTGAGGATGCAGTTCAGGCCAAAGAATTGGGTTTGTCTAGTCTATTGAAAAGAAGGAGAATGGATGATATGATAAGAGTGTTCCAATATCTCAGGGGCTGCCCCAAAGAAGAAGGAATCAGGCTATTCTCCAAAGCACCTGAAGGCAGGACAAGAAGCAATCAATGGAAACTAATCAAGAGAGAACCAACCTAGAACTAAGGAGAAATTTCCTGACTATTAGAACAATTAACCAGTGGAACTGCTTGCCTCCAGAAGTTGTGATTGCTCCAACACTGGAAGTTTTTAATGTTGGACAACAAATTGTCTGAAGTGGTGTAGGGTTTCCTGCCTAGGCAGGGGGTTGGACTAGAAGACCTCCAAGATCCCTTCCAACTCTGTTATTCTGTATTCTATCTCATCCAGCACCAAGTTTAGAAATGGATTGCCTTCATACTTATTTATGTTTTGTGTCTCATGGTAGGATCGAGGCTTCCCAAATCATGCACAATTAAATGGATCCCTTCTGAAGGATGGTGGTCAACTAGAATTCTTTAATAGCCTCCAGGTGGAAGATCAAGAGGCCTCCTTCACAGTAAGCACTAAGTGCCAGCCAAAGTTTATTTTAGAAATGGAGTTGAGGCATGGGTTTTCATTCTTCAACAGGATCCCCCAAGAAAATAGGCTGATTGTCCATTGTGGGAAACGACTCGAGCGTGCTATAAACTTGGAAGTGAAATCTGGCCTTTGCCAACTTCAAGCCAACTTGGAGATGGAAGCAGGAAACCGATGCCAGTGGCAAGCAGCGATGGAGAACTCTTGCAAAATGATACAGGTATAAACCTGGCCAGTGTACAGAGCATGGAAGGTGACCTTGACAGAGTGATACAGGTGGTGTAGTCGAGGCAAAAGGGGCAACAACAACTTTAATCATCCTGGTCTATTACGTGGGGCAGACATCCCGCCATGGGAAAGGACTTGGTGTCAAACATCTACTTTGATGTCTCCTTTTTTTAAAGGGGGCACAGTGGCCTAGTGGTTAAGAGGCTGGGTTTGTTGACCAGAAGGTTGGCAATTCAAGACCCAAATACAGTGTGACAGGGTGAACCCCCATTCTTGCCCCAGCTCCTGCCAATCTAGCAGTTCGAAAGCATGTAAATCAGTGGTGGGATTCAAAAACTTTTTACTAATGGTTCTGTGGGCATGGCTTGGTGGGCATGGTGTGACTTGGTGGGCATGGCTTAGTGGCCGTGGCAGGGGAAGGATACTGCAAAATCCCCATTCCCTCCCCACCCCACTAACCTGATTTCCAGCTCCCTTCTCCTGTGCAGAGCAACCAAAGAAGACCCAGCCAATCAGCTGGGATTTGGGAGGCAGAGAATAGATGGGGTTGGCGGGGCCAGTCAGAGGTGGTCTTGGCCAGTTCTCCAAACTACTCAAAATTTCTGCTACCGGTTCTCCAGAACTGGTCCGAACCTGCTGAATACCACCTTTGCTTCCCTGGCTGTTTTTGTGCCCACTCGTCCAACAATCTTAGTAGCCTTAGTTTCCTGAAAATGGGCTCCAGCACGAGTCCAAAAGCTCGGAAGACAAAACTTCTGGGACCGGTGACCGGCCCAGATTTGACTCTGCAGCATTATCCGGGGACACCTATATTCGTCTTCATTCGTGGGAGCACATTTAGCTACTGTTAAATAATAGCCACGCTTAGGTGCTGCCGTGTTGAATATTTCATTTTAATTTCAGGATCTTGGAATTCCAACAAAAATGAATGGATCGGGGCATGTGTTAAAAGATAAGATCAACCTTGATTCTCAAGTGGTGCTTGCTGTTGGTGAAAACACGGCCTCTGCATTCCTCCTTTTAAAAGGCACGGCTGTAAGTAATTGGCCACACTGAATGACTTTTGAACACAGAGTGTTGGGCTATTGCTTAGCCTAGTTAGGGTTGCTTGTTTCAATTGTCACTTTTTATTTGCTAGAGAAAATCAAGGCTTTCAATGAGCTGGATAGCCTAATGTAATGCTAACATGCTAATATATATATATATATTTTATTTGATCAAGGAAGTTAGACACCCAAGGAATTTGTCCTTGGTATAGAAGCACTCAGTGTAAATGCAAAACAACAGAGATATAATAATCCAGATCTGCCTATCCTTAGTCTTTGGAAAGGACTTGAGAGGTAGACAAAAATGCCAAATCCAGCATGAACATCTGGCTGACTGTGCGATGATTAACAACAACAATAATCTGTAACCTAATGAGCGACCCTATTCTCAATAAAAGATGAAAGGAAAAACATCTAATTTTTCTCCCCAGCCTTTCACCACAGATCGATTTCTCCAGATAAATCTTTTCAGCTCTGCTATACTGTAGGTCCGTGATGACAAACCTATGGTGGCACGCAGAGCTATTTGTGCTGGCATGTGAGCCGCAAGCAAACTTACCTCACTGCGCATGCACGCGCCTCACAACTGATTTTTGCCCCTCCACAGGCTTGAAAAAAACCTCTGCAGGCTTTTTAGGACGAATAATAGGCCCGTTTCATCACTTCCTGTAATCGGAAGTGACGAAACAGGCCTATTATTCAGCCTAAAAAGCCTGCAGAGGCTTTTTTTCAAGCCTCTGGGAGGCCAAAAAAGGCCTCAAACCGGCCGAAAATCAGCTGTGAGGCACAGTGCAGGTAAGGGGGTGGCGTGGGGGGGGGTTGCGCGTGCATGTGCAGGGGGGTGGGGGGGGCATTCCCTTCTGGGTGCTGGCATGTGAGACCGCGAGTGCCAGCGCATGCACAATTTTTGCCACAGAAGCCCAAAAAGGTTAGCTACCACCGCTGTAGGTAATCCTCACCTTGAGTGGTGCAGTGGCCTAGAAGTGGAGTTCTCTCCTCACAATCAGGAGGCTATGAGTTCGATCCTAGGTAGAGGCCGATATTTCTCTGGGCACAATATGAAAATATTTGCTGCGAACTCTGCATTGGTGACAGGAAGGGCATCTGGCCAGTAAACAGCTCCATTCTGTTGCTCTGACTCCACTCCGATGGAAGGGATTACAGGGTCATTAAAAGACCCCCCAAAAAAGGTAGTCGTCATCTTATGATCATTCATTTAGTGACTGTTCGAAGTTACAAGGGTGTGAAAAACAGTCCTAAGTCTCTTTTTTCACTGCCACTGTAACTTCAAGAGGTCACTAAGTAAACTGGTGTAAGTCCAGTTTCTGTTCCCTGGCACTCTTGATTTACTTTGATCCTTCTTTCCTGCAGACTAGGCGAGAATTTCATGCGCTCCTGGAACAACACATCAAAGGGGCCATTAACTCTGGCATTCCTGCAAGGGCAGAAGTGGATTTAATTTCAGAAAAGAGTCGTACCTTTTGTGAAAGGCTGCTTCAGTTCAAGGTGGATGGCCAGCAGGTAAAACACACTTTCTTTGATCTAGGTTTCAGTTTGCATGACTCGGCAGACTCCATCGCAGGTGAACCCCAAGGGTTAGGGGGGAAAAAAGTACATTAAAATAACATTTTCCAAAGAACTAAACACAGAAACACAGAATAACAGAGTTGGAAGGGACCTTGGAGGTCTTCTAGTCCAACCCTGCTTGAGCAGGAGACTCTATACCACTTCAGACAAAATGGCTGTCCAGTCTCTTTTTAAAACCTCCAGTGATGGAGCGCCCACAACTTCCAGAGGCAAAGCCATTCCACTGGTTATTTGTCCTCACCGTTAGGAAATTTCTCCTTAGTTCTAAGATGCTTCTCTCTTTGATTAGTTTCCATCCATTATTTCTTTTGCCTTCTGCTGCTTTGGAGAATAAATTGGCCCCCCTCTCCTTTGTGGCAGCCCCTCGAATATTGGAACACTGCCATCATGTCTCCCCTAAGCCTTCTTTCCACTAGATTAGACATTGGCGTAAACAGGCTTCTTTTAAGCAGGAGCGTGGTTGGTTACTCAGATGTCAAAGATAATCTGATGACCAATGGCCTAATTGTTCCTTAGATGAATTTTAGAGTTCTTATGAAGAATCAAACAAAAAAAAACCCTCCCAACTTATGCTAGGAAAACCAAGATTGTGTTCTTGTCATGGTGGTTCCATTCTTGTAAAACTGTGGGAAAGATGATGACTTCTCTGTAAAAAAAAAAAAAAAGCAAAACTTCCCAACCTTCATCTTTTAATCTAAAATAAAGGTTAGTCTTTTGAGTAACTCTTGTTTCCCCCAAACTTACATTTCTGGTAAAAATCCAGCTGTTGTTATCCAACCCTGCATGAAAAGGTGGTTGTTCAGCCGGTTCAGCCAGAGGTGGTTGTTCAGCCGGTTCTGACCGGTTCTGGAGAACCGGTAGCAGAAATTTTGAGTAGTTTGGAGAACCGGCAAATACCACCTCTGACTGGCCCCGCCCCCATCTCTTCTCTGCCTCCCATCGAGTCCCAGCTGATCGGCTGGGTCTCCTTTGGTTGCCCTGCACAGGAGAACGGAGCTGGAAAGCAGGTTAGTGGGGTGGGGAGGAAATGGCAGTTTTGCAGTATCCTTCCCCCAGGAGTGGGGAGGGAATGGGGATTTTACAGTCATTCCCCTGCCACGCCCACCAAGCCACACCCACCAAGCCACACCCACCAAGCCACACCACACCCACCAAGCCACGCCCACAGAACCGGTAGTAAAAAAATTTTATGAAAAGGACAAAATCCTTTCCTAGCCTGTTTGCCAAGAGTGAAGGTTCCATTACTCCGTTTTATGACGTCTCTTTCTGCTGATAACAACAGGTTTTGGCGTCTTCTTCTCTCAAGCGTAGGAGAGCCGGCGTGGCTTATTCTGCCACTGTCGCACAGCCTTTTAACTTTGCGATGAAACATGTGGAGTTCAGCTCCCTGACCCAAAGCCGCAAAGGAGCACATGCACAACAGGTAATTACAGAGACTTACCTCCCGAGTGTTCTACGGTGCGTTCGTTTGTCCAAAAATTAATGTATCCTATTAAGTTGAACCATTCCTACTTCCAAGGAATGAAATATTATAAACCTTGATCCACTTAAATTGGACCAGATAATTACCGTATTTATCGGCGTATAACACGCACTTTTTTCCCCCTGAAAATAGGGGGCAAATGATGTATGCGTGTTATACGCCGATATAATGTTAAGAAGTCTTCGGTGAATGCTGCTGGGATCGGGGATCAAGGACACAAATGAAAGAAGGGGAGGGAGGAAGCAACCGAAGCCTGTCCTTCTCTCTGGGTCAGCTCTCTCAGTCGCTCTCTCGCTCCTCCACCAGCACAGGAAGAAACTGCTTCAAAGAAGCGGGGGGGGGGCTTTTCCTGTCGCCGCAGCTTCCCTGAAGCGCCCGTTTCTCCCCCACCCCCACCCCGTCCGCCCGCCCGCCCGCCCGCAGTGCTCCGTTCTGCCTGCCTGCCTGCCTGCCTTCGTTAATGGTTGAATCGGAACAGCTTCGGCTGAGTAAAAGAGGCGAATAGTTATTATTCTCAGCCGAAGCTGCTCCCAAACAACCAGAA